TTCTGATCTGATCTGAATCTTTCTGATCTGATCTGATTCGAATATTTCTATGATTATAATTATAATTATAATTATAATTATAATTATAATTTTTATAATTGCAATTACAAATATAATTTAAATAAAATTATAATTATAATTGTAATTATAATTACAATATTTATCTCTATAATTGTAACTATAGTTATCAATATTATTATAATTACTCCGTAAAATAATTACAATAGTAATAATAATAATAATAATTATTATTATAATAAAAATAATAATTATAATCATAAATTATAATTATAATATAATTATAAGTATAATTATAATTATTATAATTATAATTAATAATAATTATAATTATATTAACATTAATTATAATATTATAATTTAATAATAGTAATATAAATACAATTAATATTATTATAACGACATTATTATATTAATATTATTATTACAATAATATAATAATATTATTATTACAATAATATAATAATAATATGATTATTATTATAATTAGTATTATATTATTATAATATTATATTATAATTATAATTATAATCATAATTATAATTATGATTGTAATTATAGTTATAATTATTATAATTATAATTAATTACAATTATATTTATAATTAATTATGGATATAATTATAATAATTACAATTGATTATACTTATAATTATAAGAATTATAATTGTAATTATAATTATAATTACATATAATTATAATATAATATTATAATAATATTAATCATATTATTATTATTATAATATTGTAATAATAATAATAATAGTCTTCTTAACAATTGCATTTATATTACTATTATTATATTAAAATATTATAACTATTATTAATATCTTTTTTATCATATTATTATTAATATAATTAATAATAATTATATAATAATAATCATAATAGTAATAACAATATTAATAATAATAATTAATATTTAATATAATAATAAAAATGATAAATCATGTTTGAACTTTTCTGATCTGATCTGATCTGAATGTTTCTGATCTGATCTGAATGTTTCTGATCTGGTCTGATCTGATCTAAATCTTTCTGATCTGATCTGAATCTTTCTGGTCTGATCTGATCTGATCTAAATCTTTCTGATCTGATCTGATCTGATCTGAATTTTTCTGATCTGATCTGATCTGAATTTTTCTGATCTGATCTGATCTGATCTGAATAAAATAAGAATAAGCAATAAGTAATAAGAATAAGACGAACAGAACAGCACCTAACGCACGTAGAAACAATAAAACAAGCTAAAGCAAGTAATGTACGTTGTAATTTTGAGGTAGGGCCCCACAAAAATAAAAAAAACCATTTTTATTTAAAAGTGATACTCTTTATAACTTTTTTATTTGTTCTCAGATCATTACAAAAAATACATCAAAATTCATAACTTTTTATTATCTTTCATATGACACCAATATTAAGTATATAAAAAATTTAACACTTAATTATTTTTGTAAATGTTATATCCTTTTTAATTGTACTCCGATTGTTACAAAAAGTATATTAAAATTCATAAAATCTTTGTTATCTTTCATAAATACTAATTTTGAATATATAAAATTAAAAATCAATTTTACTAATTTGTGCAGTTTAGAATCGTTTTTACAATGCACATGTTTATTTGGAGTGATAGCTTAAAATAAAACTGCACAAATTCCATCACTTTAATTTTTTTATTGTTTTACTCCTTGTGTAGTTTTAGGATGTTTTCTTTTGAACTGTTTTCAATCCCATACCAGATCAGACCAAACCAAACTTAAATAAATCAGACTTAAATAGATCAGACTATACCAGACTTAAACAGACCAGATCAGACTAGACCAATCAATTACAATCCAAACGAAAACATCCTTATTCTAATCTATCATTGCTGATTATTTGTGTGCAGGGTAAAAATTATCCTAAACCGCACAAATTAATAGAATTAATTTTTTGATTTTATATATTCAAAATTGGTGTGATAAGAAGAGTTTTTGCCCGAAATAATGCTAATTAAATAAATAATTCCCAAAATAATGTTGGGTTAAAAATAATCAAGTGGCGGCTCTTCTCTTACAGTACAAAAGCCGCCACTTCAAGTGGCGGCTCTTCTCTTACAGCACATTTTGTACATATATAAAACGCATTATGTTTCAAGAATTTTTTTTTAACTATCTTCCCGATTGAATTTTGAGTTGAAATTTTGTATGAATAAACTAGACTTGATGAGGAACATGCTCAAAAACATTTCATCAAAAAATTACACTGAGAAGACCCTCTGATGATGTTGTCTGCACGGGGGTTCCGGTCAGGACGTCGTGACAGGAATAAGACATTTTTATGAAATTTGAGGTGCTTCCGAGTTAATTTTGTTGATGAGTATAATGATTTTCTAACAATAAATAAATGCCAGAACCGGCCCGCAACCGCTGCCTACCCGGGCCGGTTCTCCCTTCCCAAAAAAGCTCGGCCGGGCCCAGGCCCGAACCGAAACCGGCCCGGCCCGGGTCCATACTACTCCACCCTGACCCCATCCCCCAACCTACCCCCAACCCATTCCGCCCTAGCCCCTTACCTACCCCCTACCCCTTTACCCCCTACTACCTTCCTCTAGCTCGATCCCACCTGACCCCTACCCATCCTACCCTACTTACCCCACCTCCACCCCACCTCGTACCTCTTCCCTACTCCGACCCCACCCTTTTACCCCTACCATCCACCTGCCCCTACCTCGACCCCATCCCCCCACCTACCTTAACCCCCTAGCCCTTACCACCCCTAACCAACCCCCCCTTACCCTACCCCTTTACCCCATACCACATGCCCCTACCTCGACCCCGACCCCACCCCTAACAGGTAGGGGTTACGAGAGGAATATGGGCCAAGGGTAAGGTTGTGGTTAGAGTAGGGGTAAGGAAAAGGTAGGGGTTAAGGTTGTGGGGGTAGGGTAGGGTGGAGTAAGGGTTAGGGTACTTCCACATATTATTTTATGTACTTGTGTTCATGAATGTTTATGTGTCTATATATGTATAGAGTTATTTTGGACATTTTAATGTTAAATGGGTGTTTTAAATCTTTTGAAGTAAACATGTTCTTATTACAACATTGCTTAATTATGCACCGCTTATTAATGCGAGTTTTAATAAACACCGGTTAGTAACCCGTGAAGTAAACGTGTTCTAAAAGTTGTCAGCTATTAATGTGCCAGTGATAAAACTTAATTGAATCTCAGATTTTAGTATGATGATATTATCTAAGGACGCCATAGGTGAACCGAATATTTCTCGAAAAATTTCACCAGGAAGACCATCTGATGGTGTTGTCCGCACGGGGGTTCCGGTCAGGACGTTGTGACAGGAATGAGACATTTTTATGAAATTTGAGGGGCTTCTGAGTCAAGTTTTTTGATAAAATTTGGTGATCGTGTTCATCCTAAAGTGTAGGTTATGTCCACTGAATTTCAGATTAAAATTAAATGAGAAGTTAGTTAAATAATTTATTGAAAAAAGCTGCATTTTTAGGCCGAAAAAATTATGCATTTTTTAAAAATTTATTTAACTAACTTCCCGATTGAATTTCAATCTAAAATTTGGTGGACATATCTACATTACATGGGAATATGCTCACCAAATTTTATCAACAAATTCGACCGGGAAATAGCTCAAATGAAATTGGCCTAAAATTGCAAATTTTAGACCTACTTTACATGAACATTTTCAGAAGGCATGGGACAAAATTTTTGCCAAGAAAATTTTAGAAATTATGCAACTGAATCGTTTGGTATGTTATTTCCCGGAAGCAATATTTTATAATTTCTTATTGTTTCATATTTGTTGATAATTTGCCCATAAGTCATCATGTTTTAGCTGCATGTGTTATATATGATATGCATTTCCATTTTTACATTACTTTGAGCATTTCTATCGATAGTTTGTATGTTGTAGGATTACACATGCTTCTCTGGATGACAGAACTTGAATTTATTGTTGCCTTCTAAACATGAGCTCAAGTGAATTGCGCAAAACTGTGATTCTGCAATTGGAACTTAGAGCAATAGTTGATACGAGTGTTGAAACTGTTTCCAATGGCCATAAACTGCCCAAATAGAGTTCATATTTATTTAGCAAGTGGAAGAGAAAGAATTGTTTGTTAAGGGCATAATGATGGCGGTGATAGCTCAAATCTGAAGTTGGTTCCTTTCAATTGGGAAGTTAGTTAAACAAATTTTTTGAAAATTTGCACAATTTTTTAGGCCTAAAAATGCATGTTTTTTCAATAAATAATTTAACTAACTTCTTGATTTAAATTTAATCTGAAATTTGGTGAACATAACCTACACTTTAGAAAGAACATGATCACCAATTGTCATCAACAAAATCAACTCGGAAGCACCTCAAATTTCATAAAAATGTCTTATTCCTGTCACGACGTCCTGACCGGAACCCCCGTGCAAACAACACCATCAGAGGGTCTTCCCAGTGGAATTTTTTGATAAAATGTTTTTGAGCATGTTCCTCATCAAGTCTAGTTTATTCATACAAAATTTGAGGTCAAAATTCAATCGGGAAGATGGTAAAAAAAATTCTTGAAACATACTGCATTTTATATATGCACAAAATGTGCTGTAAGAGAAGAGCCGCCACTTGAAGTGGCGGCTTTTGTACTGTAAGAGAAGAGCCGCCACTTGAAGTGGCGGCTTTTCTTAACCACAGTTAACCCAGCAGTATTTTGGGAATTATTTTTAACTGAACAGTATTTTGGGAATTATTTATTTAATTAGCATTATTTCGGGAAAAAACTCTGATAAGAAAGATAATAAAAAGTTATGAGTTTTGATGTATTTTTTTTAATGATTAGAGAACAAATAAAAAAGTTAAATCACTTTTAAATAAAAATGAGATATTTATTTTTGTGGGAACCTACCTCAATATTACGGGTACGTTACTTGGTTTGGCTTGTTTCCACGTGCCTTAGAGTTTCGTATATTTTCTAATACCGGTATAATATCTGCTCACGATAGTCTTCGGACTCCGTCTTTAGAAGATGAATAGTGATCTTCAAAAAAAAATTGTTAAAATAATACCTGACCATCTGTGGACTAGAATGTAGATGGTATTAATGTGCCAGATTACTTAACTGAAAGTCGGTTTTGCTTAATACAGCGTCGAAAGAAGCAGTGGTTTCTGAATTGTCTCTTTCAGATCTTCTGTGGGGCGACACGAACGAAAGAGTCCTGAAATTTCACAAAAGTCAACTTTCTTTTGCCACTTTGCTAGGCAATCATCATATCGTCAAGATTTAATGCAGATATGCGGGCATTTTGCTGCTTTTGTTGTTTTCTTCTAAAAACAAAGGGCACGATCACAGATCTGCTATCTTTCCATTTTCCCTCACTTTCTCACCTCACCCGCGCGCCTTATCCCCATTTTGCTCTTCTGCTCCACATTCTCCATCTTTCTGGAACCTGGTAATTTCTTCATTCCCATATGCTCCCAAGTCCCAAGTGATTCTGCATCTTATAAGTCTTATCTCATGACATTATTGTTATTGTGATTTGTTTTCTCTTTTTATTATTATTTCTAATCTGTTTCCAAGTCTTTCCCCATTCTTGGTTTATCTATTACTTTGTTTTGAGAGTTCAAGAATCAGCCCTTCTGGATTTTCCATAAGTGCTTTAGATAGGATTTTGCTTCATTTTTAGCCAAAGTTATGGTTTTTAATGGTGTAAGTTGTGATTAAGGTAAGCCCATGCTGGTTCACTTACCAACTTACCATTCTTGGGGTTCTTTATTGGGTATATACTTGACTTGGATTTTTCCTTCTTGAGAAAGTTGTATAGGGATAGAACTTTGCAGCTTTTAGCATGAAAAACAATCAATTAGCACTATTAACTTCATGACACCCACTTTGACATAAGCTAGCTTTGGAAATTGGAGTGGTGTTTGCCTTCAACGGCAGCACTTGTTCTTTCTCAATCCAACAAGTCGGAAGCGGGTCAGACCATCTTGTTTGATCTCACTGGGTGCTTGTCCTGAAGACAAATACCAGATCCAAACTCCCCAAGATTGTTCGTATTTAGTTGAAGACAATTAGGCCTAAAAAACATTTACTGCATTCTAGAAGAGGTTAGGAGCTAGACAAGTTTCACACTTAGGGCCTAACAGTTTGGCACACTTTGACCTGACATGTAGTTGGAGCATATGCAAAGTTTGATGGTAAGAACGTAAGGCTTCCAATAATAGCATCAAATCATGGTTGTTTGCGACTCCCCCGTCCCTCAAAACTTGGCCAAGATTGACTTACAAGTAGAATAGTAAAGTACAAAAATATGTGGTTGAGAATTGAGATGTGTGCATAGGAGAGAGAAATAGTTCAACCACATATTTATTACTTTAAATGGAAACGACAAAGTTGTTGGGACGGCTAAATAAGGAAATTTGGCAAAGTTTTTTGGATGAAGGGAGTACTATTTTTGAACGCATCCTTGTTTCAGCTTGTGCTTTGGCTTCATAGATCTATAATACTTCCTCCGTTCTTTAATTCTTGCAACATTGTCATTTTTGCACTATTCACGGGTCTTACTTTGACCACGATTTTCTACTAATATACATAATCAAATTATTACGTATAAAATGTTATTGAATTCCTATCAATGTGAATTTCCAAAACATCAACTTTTTATAATGTTTACTAATACATAATTAAATATAATCACAGTCAAAGTTGTGTGTTGGCAAACGTGAAAGTCAAACTCTTGCAATAATTAAAGAACGGAGGATAGTAAGATTTAGGTTTCATCCTTAAATATGGAGTCTAGAGCAATATATTCTCTTTTATATGTAATTACTTGATTAGATATATATTAAGATATGGGATTCCATCCTAGCCCTATATGTGAGGTTGTGTCTTTATTTATGTCTGATATGTGATGACTTGACTTGGCACTCGAGATAATGGCTCCATTCATATGCTCTTTTTATGTCCTAGTTGGATCAGTTACTTGTATGCACCAAATTGGCTTTGATTCCACATTTAACCCCATAGAATGAATACTCCAATGCTCTTATATATGAGTTTGTTTCTATAATAATTGCATGTGAAAAATGGATTAATTGTATAAACTATCAAAAGTGATCTAGAGTTGAAGCAAGTCTTGACGGGAACTATTTGGAACAAATGAGTCATTCATCTATTTCTTTTCAAACTAACTTTGCAGGAGTAAAGGGTGTGGGTTGGTAATATCTCGGCTCTAATGCCTTCTCCATCATACATGCCACTAAGGTGGGAGAGCAGCGGGGACCAATGGTGGTTTGCCTCTCCCATTGATTGGGCAGCTGCCAATGGACATTATGATTTGGTGAGACAGCTTCTTCTCCTTGACACCAACCTTCTCTTCAAACTCACTTCTCTTCGGCGAATCCGCCGCCTAGAGACGGTTTGGGATGATGAGGAACAGTTTGATGATGTAGCAAAATGCCGCTGTCAAGTGGCCAGAAAGCTCCTCCTTGAATGTGAAACCAAGAATGGCCACAATTCTCTCCTCAAAGCCGGCTATGGGGGCTGGCTTCTTTACACGGCTGCCTCATCTGGGGACACAGGGTTTGTTAAAGAGTTGTTGGGGCGAGATCCACTTTTGGTCTTCGGTGAAGGTGAGTATGGGGTCACTGATATACTCTATGCAGCAGCTCGGAGCAAGAGTTGTGAAGTTTTCAGGCTTCTGTTTGATTCTTCAACCACAGTGAAGCAAAAGAGTGGAGAAGAAGGATGGGAAGAGGGTGATGGCCCTTTGGGTTGGAAGATGGATATGAGGAATAGGGCGGTTCATGCTGCTGCTAGAGGTGGAAGCGTGGAGATATTGAGGGAAATGCTATTGAATTGCTCAAATGTGTTGGTGTATAGAGATGAGGGGGGATCTACTCTCTTGCATTCTGCTGCTGGAAGAGGTCAGGTTGAGGTAAGTTAGTCAATCACGTCAAAGAATTTCTTCTTGCGTGATATTGGTTTTAAATGACTCAGTAGTCTGAATTACCTTATACATCGTCAGTTTTTATTACTACGTATTATTTAATTGAGTAAGTTGCACATATTTTAAGAGTAAAGTGGCAAGGGTAGTGTTTTAATGTGGAGAAAGTACATTGTGAAAAGTAATATTAAATTTGCTGTGCTCTAGATTTTCAAATAAGAAATTTTTATAATATATTTTTATGTCAGTCACTTCAACCAAAATTTAGAAAGTATTTAATAAAGTTTTTTTTTGGGAAAAGGGGCAAATAAGCCCTCGAACTAATCAAAAAAGTGCAAATAAGCCCTTTTGTAGGAGGTTCCGTCCGGTCATCGTTATTTGGGGAGGTTCACGGTGGAATTTTTTGATGAAATTTTTTGAGCATCTTATTCATTAAGTCTAGTTTAGTCCTACTGAATTTCAGCTAAAAATTCAACCGGGAAGACAGTCAAATGAATTTTTGAAGATAACTGCGCAGTTAAACAACGCAGTATATTTCCGAAAATCATTTGAGTGCCTTCCCGGTTGAATTTTTAGCTGAAATTCGGTATGGCTAAACTAGACTTAATGAAGAAGATGCTCAAAAAAATTCATCAAAAAATTCCACCGAGAACCTCCCCAAATGACGATGATCGGACAGAACCTCCTACAAAAGGGCTTATTTGCACTTTTTTGATTAGTTCGAGGGCTTATTTGCCCCTTTTCCCTTTTTTTTTTCATACATTGTTTTTGGAGGAATCATCTCCTTCCTGTCATTGTTTATTTACATTTTGTAGAAAGAAAAAGAGACATTTCTTCCCTCCAAAAACGTACCGTTTCAGAATACTTGTTCTTTCCAAAAAAGAATCCCATTTCAACAAAGATAACTAATTTAGTTCAATTCATTGTTAATTAACAGAAAAAATCTGTAGAAGTTAAGAATAGTAACTCTAGTTAAAAAAAAATGAAATTTATATAGAAGTATGATTAATCATGATGATTCATTACCCTAGTGCTGCAAAGGCTCCCACCTTCTGTGGGGTAAGGGAGAAGCACGATTGATCATTTATATAAATTATATGTTACCAAAACCAAATATTTCTGTATGAGTGAAACATAACTCTTTTTTTAGGGATAAAGGTAGTATATCACTTGCAGCTCATGACTACTTTGAGACTAACATTTGATAACTTTTTAAACTCAAGAAATGCTTAATACTCTAAGTATGCGACCATCCAATTTAGTGAAAACAGTTTTGGTGATAAAGGTAGGATCTTTCTTAAGATGGCAATCTATCCAATTTTGTGAAAAAAGTTTGGTGATAAATGTAGGATATTTCTCAAAATGGCAATCTATGTGTTCCAATTACATTGAAACACTTAATTCTAATAATTCTATAGTTAAATTAGTAATTCTTGTCATTTCAAAATTATTGCTCAGGTGGTTAAGTATCTATTAGCATCGTATGACATAATTGATTCCAGAGATAATCAAGGCAACACTGCACTGCATCTAGCTGCATACAAAGGCTACTTACCCATTGTGGAAACTCTCATATCCGCATCCCCTTCGTCAGTCCCACTCACAAACAACCACGGAGACACATTCCTTCACATGGCTGTGGCGGGATTCAGAACGCCAACTTTCCATAGGTTGGACCCACAAATAAAGTTAATAAAGCAGTTGGTGAGCGGGAAAGTTGTGAACATAGAAGAAATAATCAACCTAAGGAATAATGATGGGAAAACAGCTCTTCATGTTGCTGTTAGTGAGAATGTTAGGACCGATCTAGTAGAACTTTTGATGACTGTATTTTCAATAGATTTAAACATCCGTGATGATGATGGTCACACACCATTGGATCTCATCAAGAGACGCCCCCCGACCACATTCTTATGAGGGCTTGATCAAGCGGTTCATCTCGGCCGGAGGAATATCCGATTGCCATGACCGAACGGCAAGAAGCATCTTAGCTTCATGTTTGAAAACACAGGTATTGTTGTGAGTGGTCCTTCTCAACTAAAAGTTGAACTGAGCTAGTAGATTGCATGTTCAGTACTTGAGTGGCCCATTTAATGTTAAGCTAGTATACCACGTTTTTTTTTTAATTTTCACTAGATTCTAGATTTGTGGTTAATATATGACTATATGATGTAAAATCATTTTTTGATGACTCATTTAGGGTGACTTTGGTTTGATAAGACATGTTCATTCAGACTGAAGTTTATTTGTCCCTATTTTGGTCTATTTGAGTCTGATTTGAGAGTATGTGCTTCGTGATTATTATTTAATGCTAGTCTAATCTTGTCTCTCAAAGTCTGGACTGGCCTAATCTAATTTTGTGGTGTAAGGATTGAAATATGTGTAGGTGAACAGGTTGTTAATATAGTATTTGAGCTTGACCAGGTTGTGGTTTTTTTGTTTGTTTATTCGACGCTTTATAATTTAGGGTAAACAGGGTATTATGGTTAGGATTGGTTTAAGCCTCTTTATACATCCTGAAGTTACCCGGCCCATTTTAAATATGTTTACAATATTTGTGGAGTAGAGGACCTCATCTCTTGAGAATCAGTTAGGCCTAATCTAATTTTAGTTGCAAATGTTTTTACTTAAAATTTGGGTGGTACCAAGGTTTCGACTTTTTGTCACTTAAAGGTCAAGTTAATAGTTGCCTTCACATTAACTTTTTACAACCCTTTATCTCAATAACAGGGTACAACAGGCAGCCCGGGAACTTCTTTTAGGATCCGTGATGCTGAAATATTCTCATGCTCCGGCACTGAGAAAGGGTATAACGGTAATTGTGATCTTTTAAGCTCGGGATATGCCTCTAGCTCGGGTGAAATAAGTTCACACTTTTCACATAAAAATAAGTTGAAGTTTCTTATGGAGTTGGCAAATAATAAAGGGAGAGATGATTGCGGGCCTGTAGAATCTCAAGCAGAACTACATTCTTTGACATCGGGAGAGAAACCCGTAATCTCTCTACGACAAAGGTTTGCAAGAATGTCCTCTCTTCCAAACAACAAAAGAGTTCACTCGGTTTGTCAGGGCCATACTAGTCCATTCACAAAAAAGAAGTTTGCTGCAGGGGTTAGGCAAGGCGTTATTCAAGTAACGCCACGATGTTTTTTCTCTGGATCATTGCAGGTGCGAATTCAATATTACTAATGCATAATTAATACTATGTATAGTAAGTATCAATGACAAGCTTTACCCCATCTCTAGTATGGTAGAAGTTGTGATTGATAATTAAATCTATTATCAGGAGTTTTTCTTATAATAATATTACTAAATTTGAAGTCACATGCAAAATACATAGTATAGTGGTCACTATAGTTACTTGAAAATATGTCACTGCAGTCTAAAATTGTATGATCATTGCGTAATAAGTCACAAATTTTGTTGACTGCTTTGGTATTAATCTTATATGTGTCATTTTTATAATGATAGGCATCTCCGAAGTCTGTCATTCAAGAAAAGAGAAGAAACCGTACAGATGTTGTTAGCCCTAGTGGCTCCCGTGACTTCAATTGCTTGCCTAGGGGACAAAAGACGAAAGCGGAAATGGGACGCCAACACAATTCCTTCAACATGAAGGTGATGAACCAGTTCTTCTGCTTCGGGGATGATGGCGTTTCTGTGAATAATCCAGGTAGATTGAAACCACAGGTCCAGTGTTGCAAACAAGCAATTGCTGCATGAGTGTAACATGACGTTCTCTATGTTTCATCTCTCCTTTAAAAGTTGTAATGAAGTATGTAGTGGTGCTGGCAATTTGACTAATTTGAAATTAATTGTTGATTATTCTCTTTTAGCCACACACAAATTTGTTCAGTGTCCTGGTTTGTTGGCTTTTTGCTAACCAGGGGTCACGTTTCTGCTTCTTTTTAAAAGCAGAATCAGAACTAGTTTTTGCGTTTCTGCTTCTTTTTAAAAGCAGAATCAGAACTAGTTTTTGCGTTTCTGCTTCTTTTTAAAAGCAGAATCAGAACTAGTTTTTGAAAAAGTTGTATCTGAGAGCAATTTGAAGCATCTAGAAGTACTTGTCCCCTCTACAAAATTCCAAATCACACAATGATTATTTTTCTTATTTCACACCTAATATAAATTTGGCAATGTCCAATGAGACGGATATAATAATAACTAGGATGTTGTCCAAAGGGTCACTGTTAGGAATTTTATCAATTTAGGACCTGAAAGATAGATTAATTATCAGTCCGAGACCCGAAAGATGAAATGTGGTTATAGGACTCGAATGATAGAAAACTATCAATCTAGGACCTAACATTTCATAGGTTTTGATTTATTTTCTTTTTTATTAATACCATTACTAATTTTTGATAAACTTTCCAGATTACTAGTTTAATAAAACTAAACAATATTTAAAATTTTTAAATAAAAATTATAATAAAATTTATGATAACTTAGGTCAATAGGTCCTAGATTGATAGTTTTCAATCATCCGGATCCTAAATTGACAGTTTTTCATCATTCGGATTCTATATCGATGCATTTCATTTTTCGACCTCGTATTGATAATTTCTTTATCTTTCGGGTCCCGGATTGATAAAATTTCTTTATAATGTAGTCATGAAACAAGAGTCAAAACAATTATGTCAAATAGACACGAATTATCCGCCTTCCAATTAAATACTTCATAAAATGGCATATTAATTGGAACTTGAAGGTAACGTTCATTCAACATTGAATGAGGAAGGAAAGTAGAATACATCCATTCTGTATCACAGGCTCACAGCTCCCTCCGACAGACAAGGGTCTCCACTCTCCAGTAGGTAGCTTTAAATGATAAATGGGTCCTATTCGGACCTTGTATCTTAGTATATGTGACAGATCTGCATAATTACCTTTTCTTCTACTTAAAAAAGATATCAGAGAAAGTGATCAAAAGTAAAAATTGTTGTCATAAAAAAATAGAAAAAGTTGTTGGTGTTTTAGAATGATTGAATGAGAGTGATTTAGGTGAAAAAGTTAAAGTTGCATTTAAGAAATAAGAACAAAGTAAGCAAAACTTCATCTATATTTAAATCTAGACACACGGGTACAATATAACTAGTTCAAAAAATTTCATTAAAAAATTCTAATAGGAAGGGTCTCAAATGATCTCGGTCTGACGACGGTTCTCATTACGCTGGCCTGATGAGGATGCTACTCACACTTACTATTATCACGGGTGCTATATAAAAGCACCGTTAATGAGACTACACTTCTCATTGAAAATAGTATTAGGGGCATATGCAGGAGGGAAGTTTGGGATGGATCAGTACAAAGATTTTTTCAAATAAATGTTTATACTAAAAATATGAAGAGTTAATTCCCTATACAGGGGGCAAAAAAGTGAGTCAAAAGCACCAATAGGACTACATGTTTTTTCTTCCATCTAGTAGGACTATTTTATGTGTATTTGGACAAATATGCCCTTGAGGATTTTGAAAGGTCTTAATTAATAATAAATTCATAGAAAATAATAAAAAAAACGTCAAAAAAATATTAAAAAATTCGTAAAGTATTTATAAAATAAAAAATCGGTTTTTCTTTAATTTAAAAAAAATTCAAAATGCAAAAAAAAAAAAAAAAAACGCCGCCGCCTCTGCCACCCCAAGCACCACCATCTCCCATTGCAGCTTAGAAATTTGCCAAAATTTGTAGTAATGTCATAATAATGGTAGAATCAATGATAATTTTGGCATTATGATGAGTAAAAATTCCATTTTCTTGGCATTTTCAGAAAACAATGGCATTTTTTTACAAATAATGGCAGAATCTGTACCAATCGTATTTATCCATTTTTTTTATTTGTTTTTATGGATTTTTACTATTTTTTATTAATTTTTTCAAATAAAAATCAAAAACAGAAATCTGTCAACAATTCTAGTAATGTCATAATAATGGCAGATTCAATGAGATTTTTGGCATTATGAAGAGTAATTATGCCATTTTCTTGGCATTTTCGGGGAAAAATGGATTTTTTTTATAAAAAGTGACATAAATTTTACCGATCGAAGGTGGTAGTTCTGGGAGGCAGTGGGAAAGGTTTTCATATTTTTAAAATTTTTTATGATTTTTTACTATTTTTTAATAATTTTTTTTAAAAAATTAAAAAAAAAATTAATTTTTTTTTAAATTAAAAAAATAATACCCTTAGGGGCATTTTGGGTATGCTGAATTTGTTTAGTCCTATTTTGAATGGTAAAAAATGTAGTGGTCCTATTTATGCCTTTTTAGTTATTTTTGGTCTTAGAGCAATTACTTAAATATGAATGATTTTCAAATTTGGGGTGAACCAAGACCCAGTTAGCCCCCTCCTACATCTGCCCCTGAATTGTGCTATATAGTAGCAGCTATTGGCGGTGAAGCTTTATCTAGTATCCATCCAATGTTCATTGTAATGTCCGAATAGTTGTAGCCGTTGTCGCGTGAGGCACCTAGGGATGGACCCGGGCCGGTCCGGTTCCGGTTCCGGGCCGGGCCCGGGCGGGCTTTTTTTCGGGTTACATGGGCCCGGAACCGGCCCGGGTTGATACCGGGTCCGGGCCTAACCAGGCCGGGCCGGGCCCGGTTCAATGTTTTTTTTTTTTTTTTGACTTTCTTGTTATCTCCCTACCCCCCCCCCCCCCACCCCCACGCCCCAAACCTCCCTAAAACACCCAGCCCTACCCTAGGAAAAGAAAAAAATTGAAAAAACCAAAAAATAAAATAAAAATGAACCGGGCCCGGCCCGAACCGCCCGGGCCGGTTCAACAAAAATAGGGCCCGGAACCGGCCCGCCCGACCCGCCAACACGGGCTAAAAGCCCGGAACCGGCCAACCGGGCCCGGTCCGGTCCGGGCCCGCACAGTAGCGGGCCGGTCCGGTTCCGGGCCGGTTCGGCCCGGCCCAGTCCATCACTAGAGGCACCGGTGGGGAGTACTAGTGTGTTATCAATTTACCTACTAGCTGCTACTACTTTCATCGTACATACATCCTAAAATTGACAGAAAATTATTATTGGTTGTTTTGGTGGGAGAAAATAAATAATACGTAAAACCATCTATGCGCAAACAACCTTCTTTAGCGGGTTTAGCCATGAGTAGCTTTTTAAAGTGCCAATTTAAAAGAAATTTTGAAATAGATTTTCTATAAATAAAAGAAAATAAATAAATAGTGTGATGACTATCACTACTTTCACTTCATGTTTGTGGAGTAATTTGTGACTACATTAATTACTCCGTATATTTTAAGCTAGTACAAGAGAGATTTGGTGTTCACTTCTTAATTAATTAATAGCATAAAATCTTATGTTATTAATTAATTGGGGTTTAGGATTTGAAACTCTTTGTTCTGCGATGCTGACGTGGACAATGGGGCAAAGGTACATGACAACTTCAAAGGTGATGCCCGCTGGTGTCATCGCTGGGATCGTCAGTGCAGTGATGACTGGACATTACCTATACAAGATTGCCACTGGTGGGAACCATCCCCCTTCCAAGGCTAGTGATGCGTCTTATGCTTGTTAATGCTCTAACTTCATTCTGTGTCTATGGATGATTTAAACGAGGTCCCTCGTTATGGACCTTAAGGCTATGTTTGGTATGATGTAATGCAATGCAATAGAATGAAGTGCGTAATGCAATACAAAGTGTAATGGAATGAAGTCTCTATTTCATTACTATGTTTGGTTACTTAAGTAACAACTTTGAATTGTAATCAACATCACATAATTATGTTTCTTTATCGGTGTGCGCGCGCAATGTGTGTGTGTGTGCGCGCGCGCGCGCAGTATGTGTGCGCGCGCAACGCGCGCAGTGTGTGTAGTGCGTGCAATGTGTGTGTGTGTGCAGTGTGTGCCCGGTACCGGGCCACCCCTACGTGGTATAAGCTATAATCTCAAATACACATCTTGTTTAATGTAATGCTTATTACACATATCAAAATAATGAGTTCCATATGTGCAATGACCATTACATTACGGTTTAAAACAAAATGACATACTAAACACCGTAATGAAATCAACATGTAATGCTCATTACATTACATGGTTGATTACGTCATACCAAACATGGCCTGATAGTTTTCTTTCTGTGAAACATAACAGTGTCCCAAGGTTTAGAGGGTGTATCTCTTTTGTTTTTCATTTTCTCCAATCAATACTAGGATATATATGTTCTCAACATTTAAGCATTTGTTCTGGAAAAGGTCAATTGTCTATCCAAACTTGCAACCTGTTGTTCATTGTTGATGTATGAGCTCTCTTATTTTATTATATTCTTCAAAAAACCGAATGGGCTTAGCTATAAAAAAGTGTTTAAGTTACACAGAGTACTATTTATGCTCTTCATAAGACTCTTTTTAACTTTTTCATTTTAAACGGAGAAAAAGGTCAAATAAGGCACTCTACTATTATCAAATCGTCACATAAGGTCATATACTCAATAAAGTGTCATATAAATACGTCTACTTATAAAAAGCAATCGAATGAGTCAAAATGACCTTTTGACAACATCGTAATCCCGATTTTAGCGTACGTCTGACTATCTTTTTAATATAGATTATATGATTGACATAAAATATTTAGTTATGATTAACTTAAATACAAGATAAAAATAATGACATGTGAGCTAAAGTCATGATTAAGAGGTTGTCAACGGGTCATTAGGACTCATCCGATTGCTTTTAATAAGTAGATGTATTTATATGACACTTGATTGAGTACATGGCTTTATGTGCCGATTTCATAACAATAGAATGTCTTATTTGACCATTTTCTCTTTTAAACTTGCAACCACTTTTAGTATTTGTTGCAGCACCACAAACATCAGGAATAGTGATGTATAAATATTATATAAACCTCTGCTTTTATCCATTCTGATGATGGAAATTGTGTTTAAAATTATTTGTAGGTTCAAATACATTAATTACTTTCATCAATAATAATTCATTTAGTTAATCATAAGGGAAAAGGGGCAAATAGGCCCTCGAACTAATAAAAAAAGTGCATATAAGCCCTTTTGTGGGAGGTTCTGTCCGATCATCGTCATTTGAAGAGGTTCTCGGTGGAATTTTTTGATGAATTTTTTTGAGCATCTTCTTCATTAAGTCTAGTTTAGCCATACCAAATTTCAGCTAAAAATTCAACCGGGAAGGCACTCAAATGATTTTCGGAACTACACTGCGTTGTTTAACTGCGCAGTTATCTTAAAAAATTCATTTGACTGCCTTCCCGGTTGAATTTTTAGCTGAAATTTTGTATGGGTAAACTAGACTTAATGAATAAGATGCTCAAAAAATTTCATCAAAAAAATCCACCGGGAACCTGCCCAAATGACGATAGACAGACGAAATCTCCTACAAAAGGGCTTATTTGCACTTTTTTTATTAGTTTGAGGGCTTATTTGCCCCTTTTCCCTAATCATAATGAAATAGCATCGGACATTTTCCTCCCGTGCATCGCAGGTCAGGATACTAGTTTAAAGATAAACACGTCCATTTGTGGATCAGAACTAGGCCAAACAATCCGTCCCTTCTTCTTTTTCCGGAAATCAAATAGAAATTCCGAAATCGAAATGGATGTTAGAGCAACCCTATTTAGTTAGTCTATTTTTATCATTTTTAAAATTTGAATGACAAATTTCTTAAATGTGATTTATTAAAACCACTTTGACAAGTGAGAGTAATCCAAGTAGACCACTTCTCACATTTAAGATCATACTCATGTGGAAGATTTCGGGTTCAAGTTATCGAAAAAGTGAATTTAAAATGCTTTTCTCACGAATAACAACATATCTGTACTGCTAGGGGCAAGAAACCCTAGCTGCGATGGCTTGACGGCACGTCGGATCGGCGAGGATCGATGAAAGAGATGATGCCAGTTGCCGTTTCAGGGAGCGTGGGCTTGTTTCTTTCAGTGGTTAGTTTGCTTTAAACTTTGCTTTAACGTTTTTGTTCGAAAGGCGTTTGTCCTGCGATGTTTTTCCGTCTCGGTTTGGCCGAGACTGTGTCACGATGGCTACTACGGCGTTATTCTTTCAGCGTTATTTTTCTACTCCGATTTGGGTACTTTGCAGTGTGTTTTCGTTGCTTAAGGATTGCAATACAGGTTGTCTTTGATTTTCTTCGACATTTTGAATTGTGATACGATGTATATGATCTCGAAAAATGTCAATATGCTATCAACCGGTAAGGAAGAAAACAGGGGCTGATGCTTGCGGTTGACCCGACCAAGAACTTGGCGGGACAAAGGAGAGTTTTAATCTAGCGGTGGCGGCCAAAGTGGTGTCTGACAAACCCGTTTGTGCTGTTTCTTTTTGCCAAACAATGGCTATGCTTTGGCGTCCAGTTAAGGGGGTCTCTATTGATGAAATTGAGGACTCAAAATTCTTGTTACAGTTTTATCATGAGGGAGATCTGAACAGAGTTGTTGATGAAGGGCCGTGGTCCTTTGAGTAGAATCTGGTGGTCATCAAACGGCTGGGACATAATGATAAGCCTTTGGAGGTTACACTGGACCATACAGACTTTTGGGTCCAGGTACATGATTTGCCGCTAAGTTACATGGCGGCAAGGGCAACACGTGGCATAGCTAATAGCATCATATCATTTGTGCAATTGGATGAGAGCTCTCTTGGTGGGAAGCAAGGATTGTTTATGCGCATAAGGGTTACTCTGAACATTACCATGGCCTTGACTCGTCGTCTTGAGGTTAGACAGGAGGGGGACAGCGGGATTCAGGCAAAGTTTCGCTATGAAAGACTCCCGAACTTTTGTTTCTTGTGCGGGATTCTTGGTCACGCTGACGGTTTTGTCCCTCATAGTGGTATAGGGACCGGGGAGAAACCATATGGGCCTTGGTTACGGGTTGATATGAGGCGGGGAGGAGTGCACCCAGGAAACAGGTGGCTTATTCCTAGTAATAACAAATCGGGTTACAAGCAGAAGGAAAAAGCAGAATCTGATCAAGGGACAAAGGATCAGGAAAGCTACTTGGCGGAAGGACTCTTGTCTAAGGGTAAGGAGATCACTGCAAATGGGGATGCTCCAAGAAAGCGCAGGATCACCGAGAAGGACAACGAGGCGGGGGCACATGCGAGCATGGAGGTTGATGAAGAATCTTCAAAAAACTTGGAAGTGGCGGTGCTGCCCGGACAGCACCGCCAGTAACAGAAGAATGCGAGGATAAGAAAGGACGTACCTTTAGCGGAGGCTGGTCAAACCGCTACTCCCTTGCCAGTGGCTGGACAAACTGGATTATGTTCCCTTTCTGTTTTTTCATTAGTTCAGAACTCTGTTTTATTTTTTCGTGCCCCTTTTAGTAGCAGGTACAACATTGCTGTGTATGGAGTCTAAGAATTTGCGGGGTTAGCGAGTTGGTCCGCTAGTAAGCGCGAATCCAGCTCTAAGTCTCATCCCAGTGTAGCCTTTGTTATGACGATTTTGTATCCGGTCCTCAGTTTTATTAATAATTAAGTTATTTGTTTCAAAAAAAATTGCTTTTCTCACATGATGATCCTCTAACCCTCGGGACTAACTTAAATGGTCGCGTAATTAATGTTCGTGTCGCCTAAAGCGGCAGTGTGAAAGTTAAATTCTTCACAGGAACCTAACGGTGGTTGATCAATATGCGGTGGTTCTCCAACAAGTTGCACGCCTGCACTGGGGATCTGAGAACGCATGAAGTCAATTAATTAAAGAGTCAATTCCCTAAATAGGACTAAAAAGTGGCAAAATTTCACAAATAGGATTACATGTTTTAAACTCCCCTAATAGGACTATTTATGTGTGTTTGGACAAATATACCCTTGTAGCCTTTGAAATGTTTTAATTAATAATAAAATCATAAAAATTAATAAAAATCGTAAAAAAATAATTAAAAAATCGTAAAAAAAGTAATACAAAATTAATAAAATATTTATAAAACAAAAATATATATTTTTTATTAAACAAAAAATAAAAAATTAAAAAAACGTAAAATTAAAAAAAAAACATTGCCACCTCTGCCACCCCTAGCACCACCAGCTCCCATCACCGGAGAGAAATCTGCCAACATTTTAAATAATGCCATAATGATGGCATATTCAATAAAAATGTTGGCTTATTGAAGAGTAATTATGCCACTTTCTTGGCATTTTCAGAAAAAGATGGCATTCTTACCACAAGTGGCAGAAATTTCACCGATAGGAGGTGGTAGTGCTGGGAGGCAGTGGGAGGCGGTGGGAAAGGTATCCATAATTCTTTTAATTTTTTATGGATTTTACTATTTTTTATTATTTTTTTTTTAATTTTTTATTTATAAATATTTTATTAATTTTTTGTAATGTTTTTACGATTTTTAAATATTTTTTTACGATTTTTATGATTTTATTCTGAATAAAAGCATTTCATTATGCCCTTAGGGGTATTTAGTGTAGAAAATCAATGTTTAGTCCTATTAGATAATTTAAAAAGTAGTAGTCCTAATTGTGCTTTTTAGGAACTCATTAGTTTTATTTAGGACAATTTCCGTTAATTAAAAGCATTTCTTTATGCACGGCAATGTATAAATGCGTGTTAGGAGCCTAGGAGATTATTCGAGGAGTTTTGCTAGAGTCACCCCATTTTATACCCCACCATATATTTGTGGCTCACAAAAGTCCACTTCAATAAAGTAATTGCTCTATTTTAGTGAACTGCTTTTGTGAGTCACAAACATAGGGTGAAGGTACAAATAGGGATACAAAATGAGGTGGTTTTAGCATTAATGTTATTCGAGTAATTCCGTGTTCACTCCTCTCAAGAGTTTGAGTAAATCAATGGGAGCTCAAGATTAGTTTGGCGTTCGAACCACTTAACTAAAAGAGAAAAAACGTGAGAACTAATAGGATAATAAGCCTGAAATAGGTAGGTTTCAAACAAAATTGCAAGAGATTGACTCTAATATTGTGAATGTTCTTCAATCTATAACTCTGTAAGCCACGGCTTCCCTATTCGGAACTAGATTGACAAGCTGCACACCCCTAAACTTCTGGATCAGTCTGAACTATCATAATGTTTACTGTATATGTTACCTTTATTTACAAGTTTGATCATCATGTAGTAACATGCAATTCTTTTAGTAGATGATTATGCAAATCATTTATTTGGGAGAAGCAGGGGCGGACCCAGGAAATTGATATTGGGGGGCGATAATTTAAACAAAAAAAAATCTAGGCGATTATTATTATAAGTTATAACCTTAATATAATACGGAGTAGTAATTAAATGAAGCATTATAATAGAAGAAGAGACAAATATATTATTACAAAATAGTTTAAGTTAGTACCTTAGAATTGTACCCAACGCTTCTTCAACGAGATAAATTCCTCAATCACGGCTTTTTAGTCAAAAGTTTTAGCAATTTCTCTTTCAATATAAACAATAAGGTTGTCTGCAACATACTCATCCTCCATTTTATTGTGAAGCCTTGTTTTTATAATTTTCATTGCGGAAAAAGTCCTTTCGGTTGTTGCTGTCGAAACCGGTAGAGTCAACAAAAGTCGGATCAATTTATCAACAAGCTAAGAAAGTACACTTTTGACATTTCCGTCTCCGCTAATCTTTGACAAAGTTCACCCATTGTAGAAAAATTCGCCAACTTTGGATGGTTTAGAACATTGAGCTTATAATGTTGCAATTGAAACCTCAAGCTCACCTTCTCCTGCTCAATAAAATCAAAGGAGTAATATTTATCCATTAAAGAACAGATATCATCAATGTTAAAAGACTTATATGAGTCCTTAGGATCCAAACCACCACTAAGAGTAAGAAGATCCATTATCTGTTCACCGAATTTGCTATTCAGCTCCAACAATTATGAAGCTATGGCTGCGTAAAACATATCAACCCGATAGTGACGTTCAATATCAAACCCTTCTTGATCATGGCGTTTGCGTTTTACCGCATAAGGAGACTTCATATTAGGAACTTCAATTTCATGCTTTGTGCAAAACTCTTTAACAATTTCTAAGAAGTTATCCCATCCACCCTCCCTTAACTTTTGGATCAACATTTTGGTGCTTGACACCAAATGCATAGCATTTACTATGTCTTGGCACTTCTTCTGTATATGCTGACATAGAAGATCTGTAATGCCCATAATTTCTTTAATAAGATGCAACAAGACAACAAAATCAAAAGATTTAATCTTCTTAAGTTCTCTAGCTGCATTTCCACGAGTAGAATAGTTATTGCCATTCTCTTCAACATCTTCTAAAACAGAACAAGTTGCAGCAAACATCCTAATCGAACTGCAAATAGAACTGAAATGTGAGCTCCAACGAGTTTCCCCAGCTTGTTGTAATCTACCAACCTAATTAAGTCCTCTGCTTGTTTCAAGCTCACCAATTTCCAACATTCTTGCAATTTCAAGTGCTTCAGCTTCCTTTAATTCATCACTTCGTTTGCAAGAAGAATTAGTCACATTAATAATAAAGACTGAATCGATGAAAAAATTGTGCACATATTTCACCTCTCTAGAAGCAGCAACCAATGCTAATTGCAACTGATGTGCTAAGCAATGAACATAGTAGGCATAAAGACAATCATTTAAAAATAATCGATCTTTCCGTTTCTTTTTTCTAGGTGCGCATGTTTTTCATTAGTTTGGTCTGGGCGGTGGGCTGGGATTAGATTTTGGGGTGGATTAATAGGGAATAAATTTTGGAGTGAGTTGATATAATATTACTTGTAAAATTTCTATTTTTTAGGCTCTTAAACAATTGGGTTTCTGCGAGTGGGCTATGCTTTAGGGGAGAAAATATTTTTTGGGGGGGTTCAAAATTTTTCCTGGAGGGGCGAGAATTAAATGTTGGGGGGGTAAAAATAAAATTATATATATATATACTAAAAAAACAATTGTTTGGGGGGGGGGGGGGGGCAGCCCCCCTGGGTCTGTACTACGGTCCGCCCCTGGGGAGAAAAGTATTTTGGTGGAAAAGAATAGAAGAGAATAAGAAAGTCAATTTTATTTACATTTCCATGAGCTGGTAGAAGCATTAATAAAAAAAACTATGAAAGAAAAATTAAACTAGTGAAACTAGCATATGAACATAGGTATTGTGTTCCTTTTATTTTTATTTGTAATTTTAACTTCTTCACTTGAGCTAAACTCAACCCAAACGTATCCATGTATATTTATATATGTGCACAACGGCGGACCCACAATTTTTTTCAGGGGATGTTTGTCATAGATGAACATGGATCGGGTCGGGTCTGAGTTTGGTCACGTTAGTTCAGGTGTTAGAATTCAAGAATTTTGGTCGGAGCATTGTCAACTAGTTTTGATTTAGGGTATGTTTGGCACGACTAACTGAAAAGATACTTTTGTGAGCTTTTTAGTAACTGTTAGCTTTTAGTGACTGAAAAGATCTTAAAAAGAAAAGGTGGTAGCTGTTTGGTAAAAAGCCGACTGTTTGATTTAGTCTTGTTTGGTATACAAGCTGTTAGGACAAATTAATACTAAAAGTCACAACCTTTTCTCAGATTGTACTCCCCGTAGCATCTCAAAAAAGATCTTTTATTTTTCGAGAAGCTCTTAAAATTTGTCATGCCAAACACACAACTAAAAGCTTTTACAGACTTTTTAAACAATGCAAAAGCTAGAAGGCAGTGACTTATGTGTGCCAAACATGCACTTAGTTTATATATAGTGTCGGTTTTCGATCAAGTTTTTAGCTCATTTGATCAATCTTTTTTTTGGGAAAGCACATTTGAATAAGTTCAAACACAAATATCTAGTTTTAAGAGAAAAATAGAACCAAGATATAACTCCCCATCATCGCCTCATGCATAAATGTACTAGAATTAAATCGTTCTTGAATTGCATCGTTTCTAATCTAATTCATACGGAGTATAAGAAATGTGCTTGCGCTTGCACCATAAATAACGAGTCGACTTCCCGTCTAGACTTACGACCCTCTCCAACTTTACACATTATGCAACAAATTATTAAATTAACTAGTTTGAAATATAATACAAACACCTTCTTAAAATAAATTTTGATTCACATGTGAAAACCTTTTATCATAAAAAAGTTACTGCACAAATTAAATGAGACAAAAATATAAACCGATCCAAGACAATGTTTGACTTATTTAACATTATTTTATAGTGGGATGTCATTATTATTTAAGAGTAGTAGGGTAAATTGTTATAAAGCGTCTAAACTAAAATGGGGGTGTCCGACCACTATAAGAGTTTTTTTTCGTATTAATGTTAATTAATTAAATAATTACAAAAATAGGGTTGAGTTAGAAGTATTTACCAATATACTGCTGGGTTAATCATGGTCGGGGTAAGTCACCTAACGGTTGAGCGACTTTCCCTTAAGAAAACTCATCGCCCAGCCCCAAAACAGAAGACTGTGTAACCCAATCCCCCAAATCCCCCCAAGCCGCAGCGACGACCGGACGACGGACAAACGACGACCAAGACATTTCCAACTCCGGCGAACCTCCATCTCCGGCGACCCCATTCCGGCGAACCTCCATCTCCATCTTCAACACTCTTTTTTCTTTCTTCTAGGTAAATCAAACTCTATTTCATCTCATTTTGAACTTAGGGTTTTGAATGTTAAAATTTTCGAATTTTTAGATTATGAATTGACTGTGAATTCAGTTGTTTGTGAAGACGTGTGTTGTATGTTTTATAATATGTTGTATCTGGCTCGTAACACTTAAACAGGAGAAGAGAGACCTTATTTATAGCAAACAGATGAGTTTGAATTGAACTGGGACAAAAAACATGCTGAAATTCTGTTTTTGTACTTAGGCACGATCGTGCGTACCCTGGGACGCACGATCGTGCCTGTCTGGCAGTAACTGCTGGTCTTCGATCATATACAAGGGGTAAGTCGTCCAACCTGGACGACTTACCCCTGACCATGGTTAAACCCTACAATAGATCGGCAATTATTTTTTTCAGCATTATTTTCGTAATTAATTAATTAATTAATTAACATTAATTCGAAAAAGAGAAAATTGGGTGTATGTACATAATTAAATATGTGTGTTTAAGTTAATATTATGGATTAATAAAAATTAAGTAGATAGCCTTTGTAAAAAACCATCGGTGCACTTAAAATGAGTTAACTACTCCTCTTAGTCCGCAATATCCTCCCAAATCATAGTAGAAGTACAAAAGGTAGTTAAAATAGAGGCTATGTATTTTAATAAATAAAATAGAGACTATTAACTTTAAGTGCCCTATTTCTTTAGGCTATATAGCATTTTTTCCCTTCAAAAAAAAGACTCCCACTATAATGCCTAGACGAGATTAGTCAAGACCGCTGGAGTGGTTTTTCAGACCACTATCTAACATTCTAACTCCGTAGACCGTATTTCTGTATTTACTTTTTACCGTCTACCCCCTTTTCTAAGTTTCTTACGACTATTTTCATTCAACCAAACATAGCCTAATCCATGGATTCCCTGGAGGAGGCGGGAAATCCGAGCATAAATTCTTAGAAGCAAACAACTTGTATTCATCCAAACCTTCAATGGATTCCGACTCGGATGGATCATATGTATCAGACACACCGCCGTCAACTCCAAAGCAAAAGCAACATCCACCGGCGACAGAGCCGGCTCCGGCTCCGGCTCCAGCACATTTTCTTCTCTCGTGCACTAAATTTCGAAGTAAACTCAAACCTTCTGCCACATCTTCCCGCCCAATTCTAAGACCCAAGCGATCTGGCAAACCGAAAGGGCCACCCACGAACCCAACTACGGAAACCCTACGCGCAGATTCCTCGCCGGACCCGACTCGGCTTCCGGACATCTCCAACCTGCCCTTCCAAATTCACCGTCCAGCTTACTCGAACCAAACACTTCCAGGCGCTTTACGATCATCTTTTTCCAAACTTAAGAAGAAAGATCTCAACTTTGAGCCAGCGCAGCTTGATTGTTTTGGCTCCTCTTCATCACCAGCCTCCCAATTGGATGTTGATGCTTGCAAAACAACCACTGATTCTATAAAGTCAGAAACGAAAGCTGCTGCATCTGGAATTTCTGATAAGATTCTTAACAGACTTCCTAATCTTATTGGTCGCGCTGATTCTGCTTCATTGCCAGTGAAGAAGCCTAAATATGTAAACGAGGGCAATTTTGTCAAACTCAATATCAATGGCTCGGGAAGAAAATACGGATACAAGGGGAAAAGAAAGAAGTATGGCTCCTCCAGTAATGGCAGAAAATTCTACAGAAGAAGTAGGGGGGGATTTAAAGGCAAGGGTCAAGGAAAAGGGGAGGAGGGTGGTGGGGTGTGTGATGAAGAGGGATTGGTTGTGGATTTTAAACAAACAGACGGAAGCTCAAATGCTGAAGATGGGTTGGTTCAGGAGGCTGTGATGAGTGTTAGAAATGAAGCATCTGATGAGAATCTTTTGAGCTTGCTGAAGTTGGCTTATGGTCATGGTTCATTTAGGATTGGACAAATGGAGGCAATCAAGAAGGTGCTTTCTGGAAAATCAACAATGCTGCTTTTGCCAACAGGTGCTGGGAAGTCTCTTTGTTATCAGTTACCTTCCATGGTTTTCGAGGGGATTACTCTGGTCATTAGCCCATTAGTTGCCTTAATGGTTGATCAATTGAAACAGCTGCCTGCTGCACTCCCTGGTGGTCTTCTGTGTAGCAGTCAGGTTAGTTATACCTCAAATGGAGTGGTCTATGTGCATTATGGGACAATTCTTATTCTTGTGTACCTCATTGTTTAGACACCAGAAGAGGCTTCTCAAACTCTCCAATCTCTGCAAGAGGGATCAATAAAGGTCAGTTTTTTATTTTAAATTGGTGTGCTTCCAGAGCTTACAGGGCAGCTATTGCCTTCAAACTTGCTGATCTCATTTTCAGTGAAGTACTGAAGTGTTTCACGTTTCATCTTTAATCAAACTATTACACATGAAAATAACCCTAGCACGACATTATAGTATCAGGCTATCAGTTTTTGGTAGAGGCTAGATATTAGCTGCATTTGAATATATTTTTCTGCAAACTCTTTTTTATCATGGCAGTTGTATTCGACTGACCCATCATATCTCAGGTCCTTTTTATTTCTCCAGAGAGGCTTCTGAGTTCAGACTTCACATCATTATTCTCTAGTGGTCCCCTTATATCTCTCGTGGTGGTTGATGAAGCTCACTGTGTATCTGAATGGTGAGTGTCATTCCCTTCTTGCGCCCCTTAGTCTTTTTATACCTCTGCCAGATTTATAAAATGCCAGAACATTTTTGTAGGTCACACAATTTTCGGCCCTCATACATGAGGCTTAGGGCTTCGTTGCTGCGTGAAAAGCTAAAGGCTGAATGCATTCTTGCAATGACTGCAACTGCAACAGCCAAAACATTGCATGATGTAATGCATGCTCTTGATATCCTCCCCACTAATCTCATCCAAACATCCAAATTGCGGGACAATTTGCAGATGTCAGTATCAATGAGTAGCAATAGGTACATGCACAAATACTATATGTTTAATTTATGTTTTCTTCAAGCACTCCTTGGTATTAAATGAATGTGAAACAATCACTCCATCCAACCACAAAATTCTGTTAGGCTGAAAGATTTAATAGCATTGCTCAAGTCTTCTCCGTTCTCTGATGTTAAAAGCATCATCATTTATTGCAAATTTCAGGTCAGTGATCCATACATCCATGCTGCATGTTAACGCTTTTCGTTTTCTAGTTGAAAAAAACTGTCTGCATAGAAGTGAGTGAGTCAGATTACATTGAGTCACTGACAGGCTTCATTTTTTGTTTTCCCTACACATACTCTAAAGTATGAAACAGATCTTGTATGCAAATGTCTATGTGATAACAACATTTCAGCTAAGGTTTGTGGTAACTTTTTACTTTGGTTAAATAGTTTTGAATTGTGTAGCATTTCCCTTAATCTGCTGTGCATCATTTCACATTTAATGTTGTGAGATTGGATTGTACATTGCTTTTTAGAGTTACCACAGTTCCATTCCTGCTAAAGATAGGAGGAGGACACAAGAACTCTTTTGTGCAAATAAAATTAGAGTGGTGAGGAATCTTTTCAATAACTTCTTTCTGGTTGTATTCGTAAGACATTGCATTCCTTCTGGAGTGCCATAATGGAATATGTATCACTCTGATCGCATTCATTAACTTGCATATTTATGATTCATAAAGGTTGTTGCTACTGTGGCATTCGGAATGGGACTTGATAAACAAGATGTCGGAGCTGTAAGGACTGGAGCTCTACTTTCTTCTTTTATTTCTTGAATCATTCCCACCTTGAATATGTCTAAGTTTAATATTTCTTACCTACTCAATCTAGATGAGTAGATGGTGATTTCAACTCCACGTTTGCAATTAGTTTTCACCTGGTTGATAACTGGTTTGATTTCCCAGCTTCTAACTTTTTATCAACAATTTACCATGTCTGTTATGAGCAGTAAATCTAAGAAGGAAACACAAGAGTTCTGTGAGGAATGGAAATATAGAACATGTTTGGGACAGCTTCTAATCTTGATTATTAGCTGTTCTTTAAACATTTGTGGGGGGGGGGGGGGGATCAGCTCAAACCTATAATCAGATTACATTGTTTGGAAAACATTTGTTTTCTAGAATCTGAAAATTTGTAGAACTTGATTCTTTTTCAACGGCTTATTTCTGTCTTTTAGTTATTTGCATAGTTCTTTACCTAGTAAAAGCTGATTTTTTGCACCCAACCGAAATCAATAATTTCCAAATCACTTCTGAGCAAACTTACCCAAAAAAGTTTGCTGTGATTATAACCAATTATCACAATAATTGATTATTGCTCTTTTCAGCTATCTCAAATGAGTTTCTAAAATGCCTTGACTTTGCTAAAACATTTATAAATAAAAATCACGTGGAGTAGATATATAGATTGTCTATCGGTGTTAGAAAATATTAGATTTGAAGGCCAAGTTTGACATTGTTATGTATGACAATACGAAAATGCTTTGAGTTTAGCCAAGTTGTTACATACTTACATTGATATTCCAGAAGCTGTCTATGACATATAATGGCATAACAGTGCAGAGTGCACATCACTTTTTGTGTGGTACTGTTATTGAAAGTATAATCACTCTATCTGTGTTCTTCAATATAATTATGGATAGGTCATTCATTACAGCTTACCGGAAAGCTTGGAAGAGTATGTCCAGGTTGGTAATAGTTCCTCAAGACCTACATTTATTTACCTAGCATTGAGACCTCTACAAGATACACCTGTTTCCTATTTATTTAGCCATGAAGCTTCATGTGACCCATGTAGGAGATAGGTCGTGCTGGGCGTGATGGTAGATTGTCTTATTGCCACCTTCTTTTTGATGATGACTCCTATTTTAAGCTGCGTAGTCTTGCTCACAGGTAATGGTACTTGGCCTTTTTAGACAACTAGCTTTGTTTGGGGAAGATAACTGTCTGATGAACATATTTTTTCAGTGATGGTGTGGATGAGTACGCTGTAAACAAATTCCTCTGCCAAGTTTTTAGCAACAGCTTAAATGGGAAATTTTCATCAATAGTTAAAGAAATGGCATCCCGAAAGTTTGATATGAAAGAGGAGGTGCTTCTTCCCTTTTCCAACCCTCTTTCGCTGGCTATGCTCCACTACATTTCCTGAGGGCTTCTCAGTTTATAAATTATTGTCACAGTTAATCTGAGTCCAACCAAATCTGATATCTTGGAGGCAATATTAAGTATTTCATCTGTATTTGCAATTCCGAATGTTCTTTAACTTGTAATACAGTCTGAGATCTTATCTTAAATTGACAAACTAAAACATGGTTGAAACAATTATTGTACAAGACATTCAATAATTAAAGACAATAGCATCCCTTGTCCAAAGCGTAATGCCTTAACACATGCTTCTATATCTGAAGAGTGTTTCATAACCAATCCTATAGGCAATGGGGTATTGGTGATTTATGTTTACTTCCATTAGTGGCATATTGGCATGTTTTGATCAACTAATTAAAAGAATACAACAGCTTTGTGGTTTCCCTCTTTCTGATCATTGCTTGAAGACACATAGGAGTGTAGGAATAATGGTAGTAATGCTCAAAGTAGTCTCAAACCCTAAGCTAAGAGAAATGAAGTCTTTTAAAACAGCTTCTAGTTCTATTTGCATATCTAAATGTTTTGTGAAGATCCTCCATGCAACTCTACGACTACTTCTATGACAGTAATTCTCAACGTAGGTAATGTTGTTTTTATTTGTTCCTATATGACGGCATAGTTTTGCAATGTTCTGGTTGTTAAGGTAGGTAGTCTCACTTTGAAAATTATATGGTTGATAAGGTAGATATTTGATAGTAGCATCTGAAACTCGCTTTTATAAGGCCAACTTATCTTCATAAATGATGCTGATTGATGGGTTTACTCATGCATCTAGGTAATGCTTACAATTTTGACTCAACTGGAGCTGGGCAATGTGAAGTATTTGCACTTGCTTCCTGAAGTGAATGTAACTTGCACTTTGAATTTCCACCAGGTGAGTTGCAATCTTTGTCATTAACCAAATAATGAACTGGTTTTCTTGGTATTCTAGGAGTGTTAAAGTTCGCTTAATATCTGGAAACCTCTTAAGTACGTTGGAGAAATTATCTCTTAATAATGTTGGAGAATGATTAAGGGTAAAGTATGATAATCAATGGTTATGAAAATGACTAAGTAGGTAAATGATTAATGTGGTTTTCTTTGCATTTTTAGATTTCCCCTTGGATTACTAGAGCAGAAATATTATAATCTCACAAAGGCTCTTTAATTGGTTAAGGAATAAGGGAATGTTCATTGTGGTCTTCTTGCCAGTATTTCAGTATCTCTTGATCCTAAATCTGAGGGTGCTAACACTGTATCTGTTTATTGTTAATCTGAGGGTGTTCGCAATTATTTCAGACTTCTCCAGCACAGCTAGCTGCTAAAGATATAGTTGTTGCAGCCGTCATGAAGAAGTAACCATTTCCCTTTTACTACTAATCAAACACATATTTGGCTCTTACCAATTTTTGCAACTAATACCCGTCTATGAATTTAAGGTCTGAAATTAAAGACGGGCAATATGTGTTTGACATACCAAGTGTAGCAAATAGTATTGGATTGCAACCTGCGGACTTGTCAAATCACTTGCAGACACTAAAGGTATCACAACTGCTTTCAAGTTTTATGCCAGATTTTCTCTGGATTCAATTTTGTATTTAAAACAAAGACAAATTGTGTGTGTCCATAACTTAGATGATAACTTACTGGCTTTACAGTGCCTTCAAATGATGTCACTTTTAATGTAGTTGTACATAAAGTGGAACCTTATCATTCTTAAAATGCAACTTTTGTTATTTATGTGAATTGCACTTGGGCCTACATAACTTATAACTACATTGGATAACACGTCCCTAAAAAATTGAGAATTGAACAAGGACAAGCTTAACCATACCCGCTAGTATGTACTTTCAAGAGGGTGAGATTACAATGTCCTTGAACAACAGTGGGATTAGTCTGTAAAGCTCTATGCAAGTCTTTTTTCTTAAAGACTATATATTTGTTAGGAATTGGGCCTAATAGACTTTAGGAATTTGGGCCTATTAGACCAAGAAAAATAATAAGTGTAATAGACTAGTATAAATAGAATAAACGAGGAGAAGTGAGGAGGCTGTTTTTGGAGACTTTGTCTTAGACTGGGAAGTTAGAGCTTTGTCTCTTTCTTTTGGGGGCTTCGGCCTTTGTAGTTGTTCATCGATAATAAAACTTCTTGAAGTTCTTGATACTTTTCTCTATTTTCTCTTTGATTTTGTTGTGATTTCTGAGGGATTCTTACAGTGGTATCAGAGCACGACGATCTCTGGATGAGATATACTCGTGCTAAGATGGACGGAAGAATGACAGACATGGAGAGAAACTTTACTGATATGGCCAGGAATCAGAGAGAATCAGCGGCAAGGCAAGATACACTGGAGACGATGATGGTAGCTATGCAGGCGAGTCTCGCGGATATCCAAAGTCGCCTTCCAGATCGTGCGCGAAGTAGGTCGCAGGCCTCCTCAGCTTCGCATCGCACTTCTCACCGTCATCGATCACGCCATTCAGAGAATGATGACGTATCGGAGGGAGACTCAGATCATTCATCACACCGTAATCACAGACATCACAGGGAACACCATCCTCGTAGCCGAACAGGAAGGAAGATCGATTTGCCATTGTTTAATGGAGATGATGCCTACGGTTGGTTGGTTAGAATCGACAGATATTTTCGTCTCAATCAGATTGAGGAAGACGAGAAGTTGGATGTTGCGGTGGTTGCTATGGAAGACCGCGCACTGAGTTGGTTTCAGTGGTGGGAGAATCAGACGAGAGAAAGGAATTGGGACGCTATGCAGGAAGCTCTAACGCGAAGATTCCAACCAGAGTTGGTACGTAATCCGTTGGGACCTCTATTAGGTCTAAAGCAAAAGGGAACTGTGAAGGAGTTCCGAGAACAATTTGAGGATGCTATAGCATCTCAAGGCGATCTAAGTGAGAAGGTTACAAGAGGTATTTTCTTAAATGGCTTGAAGAAGGACATTAGGGCCGAATTGAAGCTTTACAGCACAAGAGATTTGGCAGAAATCATGGATACAGCTCTATTGATTGAGAATAAGAATTTTGAAATAATGTCTAGGAGAAATAAGGAAGAAGGGAAGAAGGTGTGGAAGAGCAGCAACTCTGGAAAACAAGGTTACAATCATTGGGGAGATGGCAGTCGAAAAACTTACAACCAGGCCTCTACCAATCCATCAGTGAAGGATTCAGTTAACAACGAGAAGCAGGAGGAAGGGTCAAGTTCTGTATCAAACAAGTTAGGCCCCAAGCTTACTCAGACTGAATTGTTGGAGAGGAGTAAGAAGGGACTCTGTTTCAAATGTGGTGACAGATGGGGTAGAGGTCACATTTGCAGTATGAAAAATTTTAAAATGATGCTTGTAGAACAATCTGAAGGGGAGGAGGAATCTGATGTTGACTATATTAAAGATAAAGAAGAAGAAGGGATACATATGGAAGCTAAGACTATGCAACTATATGTATTGAGCCAGGAAGAAATACCATTCATGAGAACTTTCAAAGTCCTGGGAAATATGAATTGGCTGAAGGAGGATAAGAAGGTGAATATTTTGATTGATTGTGGAGCTACCCATAACTTCATATCACAGAAGATTGTGGATAAATGGAAGATACCATTTAGTTGCATCAAGGATTATGAAGTGCAGATAGGGAATGGAGAAATTCTTTCCAACAAGGGCAGATGTGAAGGAGTAACATTGAATATACAAGGAATTGACATTATGCAGAAATTCTACATTCTGGACTTGGTGGGAACTGAGGTGATGCTGGGAATAGAGTGGTTAACTGGCCTAGGAGATATGACAGTTAATTTTCAAAATCAGACCATCGAATGGGATGTACATGGGCAGAAGGTTTGTATACAAGGAGATCATCAAATAGGAATTGATATTGAAGAAGAAAGTGTCTTCGGTGTTGCAGCTGGCTGTGACTTCACCTCCACAGAATCTGAAGGAACCAATTTGCTAAAAAAAATGTCTTGGCTGCTGTTTAATTCTGCTGTGAAATACATAGGGAAGAAGATGAAAGCAGCAAAGCTAAAAGTCCAGCAATCAATTCAGTATTGGAAGGGGAGAGGTGCTAGGATGAAGGAAAAGAAGAAGATGTTGGCTGTGTCCTATCACCCACCTTGAGGGCAAGGTGGATGTTTAGGGGGGGAGTATTGTTAGGAATTGGGCCTAATAGACTTTAGGAATTTGGGCCTATTAGACCAAGAAAAATAATAAGTGTAATAGACTAGTATAAATAGAATAAACGAGGAGAAGTGAGGAGGCTGTTTTTGGAGACTTTGTCTTAGACTGGGAAGTTAGAGCTTTGTCTCTTTCTTTTGGGGGCTTCGGCCTTTGTAGTTGTTCATCGATAATAAAACTTCTTGAAGTTCTTGATACTTTTCTCTATTTTCTCTTTGATTTTGTTGTGATTTCTGAGGGATTCTTACAATATTCTGCAAGTTGAGGGGTATGCAAATGAGAGAGAAGATACAATGAAACCCCCCATAAATCTATGTCTTTGAAATCCCCTGCTTTATTAAGAGTTGGCTAATGTATACATTCATAAAGACAAACTCTGTGTGTTCAATCTTTTTAGGATATATAGCATTTTAGCATAACTTTCTGCAATTCTTTATACTTTTACTCATCTTAGTTTAAGGGAGAAATTGCCTATGAGTTGAAGGATCAGGCTTACTGTTACAAAATCATGGATATCCCCAAGGACATTTGTTCTTTGGCAGCACAGGTTACGAGTTGGCTTTCAGAGGTTGAGAGATGCAAGGTGATTAACCTTTAATACACTTTCTTCGTAATCCCACATTGCTATAAGTTTTATAAGTATTGCTATTGCGTGGGCCGTGCCATTTTGGATAAAAGAAAAGGTGTTTGGGACAATTTTGTGTTCAGAATCATAATGTGCAAGCTTATAGGAAAAGGTATCACATTCTACTTATTTGACACTGCCTCCGTTCAGATATAATTGCAACATGGATCTAGGCACATAATTAACAATTTGGGGTTGTTTTTCTTATTTCCATTTTAAATTCTCGGAATACCCATAGTAAGATAAAAGTAATACAGTTATAAGCTATGTGCTGTCAGCCACTGTTTGCTTTTGCTACAGCAAAAGTTCTAACTAGAGAAATCAAATTTGGCTTTGAATGCAATTTTTTAAATCTCAAGGTGAGTCCTACGTAGCAATTCCTTGTCACCACTGGAAGCATTAGATGGGTTCTCCAATGTAATGGAAGAATAAAAATAAAGAGAGAAATCAAATCTTGAGGGAACTTCTCTGTCACACTTCATTGATGCCACTAATCAGAGCTTTAGCAGAGTTCTACCATGTAAGAAATAAATATAGGGAGAAGGGAATTAGATAAGGTTGTAGGGTGTGTAGAAATGATAAAGTGAGAGAGATAGATGATGGCAGTGGCTTGGGGTACATCACTGATAGGAAGAGAAAGATAAATTGAAAATAGCAAGAGAGAGAATGGGATAAGAATGTAGTACATGATGAGCTTTTGAAGAAAAATAAGTGATGAGTAGTGATTAATTTTGGTAGGAGTAAGGGTATTGGAGACACTAAGAATCTAAGATAATTTTGTATTACCTAAAATAGAATTGTTGCTATTATTTTGGAACTACCAAAAAAGGAAAATGTTGCAGTTATTTAAGAACTAAGTATATGAGTAGCTCTGCCCCTTGATGTTTTCCCTTCACGTAGTTGCCTTCAGTTAACAAGTTATTTGATAAACTAACACATGTATAAATATTTCCCGTCAAATAGGTGAGAAAAATGGATATAATGTTCAATGCTGCTGTTGCTGCGGTGAAAAGGTGTGATAAGGTGTATGGTTGTGATGGCTATGACCACACTCCTTGCTTGCAAAGGAAGATTTTGGAGTATTTCAAAAGCAATGATGATATTGATGTCCCCAACAATATGGCTAAAATCAGGTTACGAATCTGCCATGTTATTCACTGACCGGTGCAGAAGGCATCCTTCTAAAATTGTTTTAACAAGACCATTGATTGCTTATTTTTCACTATTACCCTTCCCAATCCCCATCCATAAACGTTACATTACTGTAAACATTAAAAAGGGTGTCCTGGTCATATACTCCCTCTGTCAGCACAAAGATAGCCACATTTGACTTTTTGCGGGGAACTGTTAAATTTTGAGCAATGTTTTTAATCAATATATTTTACAGTTTTTTTTTTAACTTTTATGAGTCTATTCTTAACAAAAGATATCGTTTTGTATAAAAATATATTTATTGGGCAAAGTTCAACATATCTTTGTAGGATGGGGGTAGTAGTATGTATACTAACTTTATGAAGATTTATTCTTTTCTTAATATGTGTGCAAACACCTAAAGCAGCAGCTAAAACACAACTGAGAATAATCATTGTCCTATAGAATTAGTTTCTTTATAGCATATTAGCAGTAATGCGACTATGTGACTGATTTTTTCATTTTTTGCTCTTACAGCCCATTTCTGAGAGCAGACATAAAGGTAATTTTTTACGAGCCGAATTGTTTTCTATCAGAGAAGAATGCTTCATGCTGTTATAAGTCCCCTATCATTGCTTCTGGTGTAACAGGTCTTTTTACAGAGCAACTCACATGCCAAATTTACCCCTAGAGCTGTTGCAAGGATACTACATGGTCTTTCTAGTCCAGCCTTCTCTTCCACTTTTTGGTCAAAATGTCACTTCTGGTACTTCTGCGAAGAACTTCACTTGTACAAAGCATTGATATTACCTGTTGTCACATATGTAGATTAGTAAACTATAGCAACAATAGAATCTTTTGCACTCGTCTCCTTTAACACAAAGTTATCTGTTTATCTTGCTTGATGCTTCTCCAAAAAGTTCCTAAAATATAGCTCTCCTCATATTTGTTAATGAACTCTTTTTAAGAGTAAGTTAATCACAATCTTGTTTCAGGGGAAGGTATATTCAGACAGATTTCAAAGTAGTGATGGAAGCAGCAAAAGCAGAACTGATGAGTGTTGTGGGGAAGGATTTAGTGTGATTGATGCCAATGTGAGAAATCATTTACAACTTGCTAGCTATAGTCTCTTTATTAGATACTATATGTGCTATCCTAGGTGGGTTGGCTAAGTAAAATGCTAACGTGTTAAGTCTTTTGTAGGTTGATAAAGCTTAAAGTGCTTTCTAAACACTAAAATCAAGAACTCACAAAATTCTACTCCGCTTTCATGATTTAACGATTTGAGCTTTTTGTCTTTTGTTAATATAATTCTGGACCAAAATAATCTCTCTTTTTCTTTTCCAAGCATTTTTCTTGAAAGACAACATAAATTTGTAAACACTTTGCCAAGTACCTTGTGGTCTGATGACATCACTGTGACACTCTCAAGGAAGAGGTGACAGGTTCGAATCTCATCCAGTTCAAGGATGCTGGCCTTAACATAGAACAAATACTATAATAGGTTAGAAAGTTTTGCCAAAAAAAATTAAAAATAAATAAATAAATTGTAAACACTTTAAAATGACCTTTTATCATACTGTCCAGAAACTTGATCAAATTGCCATTTTGAACCTGAAAAACATGTTTTTAAACCTGAAAAACATGACGTTCTAAAACAACAAAGCATGTTTACAAAGTGTTTATCCAACCATAGTTTTCTAATGTACATTTTGGATGACAGTTTATGAAGAGTCGGAGAACACTGTTAATTTTTAAAAACATTGCAGGTTTAACCAAACGACTGTAAGTAAAGAACAAACTTCCCTTTATTGTGAAGACAGAAGATTATTAGAGGCTTTGATGTTGAAGACTTAAAGTGACTGAAGGATGTTTTTTAAGGAATAGTGTCATATTCTTTACAGGGAGCCATTTATGCTGAAATTTTGCCCTTCACAATCTCGTTAAATAGTGATGCTAACTCCGATACCTATAGGTTTTAGCATATGGATGCTTCGTTTTGGAGCAGTGGAGCTGATGGCAATAGAATATATTCCAAATGGAGGATTTTGGAATACGTTGCAATCTTATACAAATGTATTCATTGGCAAGGAGTTCTCTTCATCTTATTTCCCTCTAACAATGAAAGTACGAACAAGTTGTAATCTTACATTTGAAATTAATTTATAAAAAGTCTTACAGTTGAAATTAGTTTATAAAGTAATTTGTTCTTATTAGACAAGAAATTTCTCTAAATAGGATTACAGCAAAGCAAAAAATCCACAATATGTTCCTATTTACCATCTTCGAAATTTGTCTCATGTAGAAGATACCCCATGCATGGGTTTTCGTAATTGGTGTATTAGCTGCTGAGGCAGTTTGTTATTCAAAACATCAAAGTTCCAATTTTTTTATGCATCATATTCTACGTCTTCATTGATTCTCATTTTCTTTTGAATGACAATACAATCTTGTCATATTCATTTCCTTATATTCATTGTGATTGAATCTATTTAAGAGAAGACCATATCTTCCTTTATGTTGCAGACTTGCAGGTCCTCTATATGAGTTCTTATTGTACACATAACACATGTATCCTGAATTTCTTATTTAACGAAACATATTCTTACCATTGGTTGTTGATTGCTTTTTAGGATTTTCATTAATTTTCTTATCTTTATATATGTACATTGTTTTTTTGGCATTAAACCCATGGAAAATAGTTTTACAAGTTCTAAAAAAACTTATAAAGTACTTCAACAAATTAGGATGGTAGTGAAACCAAAAGGTTGTCGACTTTGACTGATAACCCTAAAGGCTCATTCTTAGGAAAGAGGCTCCAACTTCTAACCACCATTATGTACGTATGCTCTATGATGTTCTTCCATATTGTTGAACATATCTTTCTTTATATACATATGCTATCTGATTTTCTTCAATATTGTTATATGTATAATTTTTAATATGAATTGTAAATTGTCTATAATTCATTAGAATTTGCAATTTACGTTATAGTTTTTTATAAGATATTTAAGCATTGTAGTATGTACCTTTTTCATGCGGAAAATTTTGATTTTTTGTTTGAAAGAGTTATGATTCTTATTAAACTTCTCCTTGTTCATCTTAACTTATCTTAACTTATGCTTGGGTTTTTAATAATAACATATGGTTGGCAGTCTTAATGATGCACTGGATTAAATATGAGTTTATGAATGCCATTGTAGTTGCTCATAAAATTACCAAATATTGTGTGATTTTCATTTATAAACTGACACTTGTGTTGTGCTCACTTCAATGTTTTCAACTTTCTGCCACATATTGTCATAATTATTTTTACATACACTCTTAGGAATCTTTTGACCATAATGGATCATGGAGTACTCACTATGCTCAAGTTGGATGGTACGTAGCTGAGGTTCTCACTATTTGTTCACCAATGTCCATACTTGTAGTCTTCATGTTCGATATGGTGCGACATATGCTTCTTTCATCGCAATGTTTAATGACATCCTTATGTAGTATAAATCAAATGATCACTTTAAACTTTATGACGTGGTAGAAGGACGCCCACCTTATGTTACTATTAATGATGATGATGATGATAAGTTATGATTTTATATTTCGTTTGTTGAAATGTATTTTGTAAGTATTTGTTTGTGTTGAGTTTTATCTTGACAGTGTCGTTATTGGTTCTATGTAATGAAGAGTATTGACATAAAAAGCTGCACAGTGAACTCCTTTGGAAGTTTTTCTCTATCTAAGATGACAATAGAGAAGTATAAGTCCAAACTGAATTAAAAAGTGAGAATAATTAGTTTTTAACAACAATAGTTATACATGTGCATCTCTTCTTTCTAAGGGCAACTCTTTATTCATGAACAACTTTCACTTTCAATCTCACTTCAAGTCTTCAAGTTATCTTTTGTGGGTCTACAACTCTACAAGTCATTAGGTTGCATGATTGCATCCATGGATCATTAACAAACAAGGCAACTCAACCTATAAGTAATTAGTTAAGATTTAACCCATGGTAGATTCAATTGTGATAAATAATTAAGGGAAAATCGCACTTTTAGTCCCTCAAATAGTCATGAAAATGAAATGTCGGACCCGTATTCCCAAATTTGTAAATGTCGTCTCTCAAATGTCCTAAATGCTGTAAATGTGGTCCCTTTGAGTGGTGAAATATACAATGTGGGCGAGAGTACATTTCACCCCTTAAAGGACCACATTTATAACAATTTGAACAATTGAGGGATGACATTTACAATATCAGAAATATGAGTCCGACATTTCATTTTCGTGACTATTTCAGGGATTAAAAATGCGATTTTCCATATAATTAATTATACGGATCTAGGTCTAGCTTTTGAAATATGATTATTGTGGTATTGACATAACTAATTAATATGTTGGGTTAAGCTAGCCCACAACTCACTAAGGGTCTAACCCTTAACGTTTTAAAACATACTCTATGTGGTCCTTAAAATTTTGTCATTTTTATCAATTATATATTTATATAAAAAATTATTTATAATATAAAAATGATATTAAAATATTCTTTCTTACAAGTATTTTCATAAAAGTACATAATTTATAACTTCCCAAATATTATACTAATCAAATAATATAGGGAAAATGGAAACTAATAATCCAACCTTTTAGCGGTCTTCTTACAATAGTCCCACCTTTTGATTATTCATGAATAATCCAACCTTTGCACCTCATCTTCATTCACTGGTCTCTTACCGGTTGATGACCTGCTATTCCAAGTTATTTTCTTATCTTTGCAAAATATTATCTTTGTGAAAGGTGAGATTTATGGTATAATGGTTTGCAAAGATAAGAAAATAATTTGGAATGGTAGGTCATCAACCGGTCAGGGACCAGTGAATGAAGATGAGGTGCAAAAGTTGGATTATTCATGAATAATCAAAATGTGGGACTATTGTAAGAAAACCGTTAAAAGGTTGGATTATTAGTTTCCATTTTTCCAATAATATATAAACTTTATCACCATTGACTTGAAAAGTGACAAATTTTTAAGGGATGAAGGTAGTAAATATTGAAGAAGAACAAAGTTTGTTTCATCTCCTACAAATGAAATAGAGTAAAAAAGGACATAATGATAAAGTAAAAGATCAAACACCAACAAGAATCTCAATACATTTTGCATCAATGACTATTTTCCGATTTTAGCTTGAGACTATCCATAACTAATATCCATTCTTATCCAATATACATCAAATGCTATCTCCTATTACATGACTTGCAAAATATTAAACTAGACCATTACAAATACGGAGTATGCTTCAACTCAATTTGCAATGCACATATAAAACATCCGAAATAGAAGAAAAAGGGGGAAAATGGAAACTAATAATCCAACCTTTTAGCGGTCTTCTTACAATAGTCCCACATTTTCGTTATTCATAAATAATCCAACCTTTGCACCTCATATTCATTCACTGGTCCCTAACCGGTTGATGACCTGTTATTCCAAGTTATTTTCTTATCTGTGAACAAATCATCCATCCAATCTAACATATTGAAAACATATAAAACACATTCTTACCAATTTTAATCTATCTAATTTTACTTTATAATTTGACAACTCGATTGAAAAAGAATCCGAGTAGATGCGAGTTTAGAAATTCCATATGGCCCTATGTGGGAACCGCGAATACAATTAAGCATAGCACACACGCATACGAATATTCCACAACGGCTGAAGATCGACCAAACAAGAACAAGAAATATAGAAAACAATCTAGTTTCTTGCTTTTTTTTTTTTAAATTAAATTTGTACAATCGTACAGAGATTATCTGGTTGCTTGCCCTCCTTGCCATGAGGATAATTGCTCACTGATTCAGATTTCAGAAATCTGATTCTTCTTGATATCTTGCATTTATATTGCAAAAATCAAGAACGTCCGTTCCACGTAAAAACCAAATCTTGGTCTTGTATCTGCAGCCAAATCCAAAGGATATTGGTTCAAGGCTAAGTGAATTAGAGGTGGAGGGAGACGGTGGGGTAAATGAAAATGGGGGCTAGATCAACTGTGTCGTTGATCAGGAAGGCTGTTCCCGCTACCGGAGCAACAATGACTACAGCCGCCACCGCCGCGACGTCGCCTGCATCGTCATCATCGATATTTACGAATTTCCCTCTCATATCTGCTCTTCTTGCCTTCGCCGTTGCGCAATCCATCAAATTCTTCACCGTCTGGTAACCTTCCATTTTCTTTTAAGGATCAATTTAAATTTGTTCTGTTCATTGAAATCTTGAATGTTTTGAGAGTAATTTGAGCTATGTCTTAAGTTTCTTCGGCTGTTTACCAAAGTTTATAGCTCCTTAAGCTTGCTATTGCTCTATCTTTACTGGGAAAATGCTCATAGATTCTGAATACCGGAAAAGGTCCCATCTTTAGATTTATTAAATTTTATGCTGCAACGGAAACGGATTCTAGACTTGCCTGTGGGAAAAGATTGTATGGGTATTTTAAAATCATAGTCATCTAAGGTTGCCAGTTTGCCACTATTCTATCAAGGTGGATTATTTACAGGGAAATGCTCATAACTGGATAAGATATTCTGTGAAGGTAGATTCTGAATAAATGGAAATTGTTCCATCTTTAGATATTGTTATCAAAATTTCACTACAGCCTAAACAATTTTGTGCATTTCTGACACAAGTGATGCCTGAAAAGTGTTATAGGCTTGCATAGTTGCATGTCAAAGTGAAATAATAGATTTATATTTATGCTGCAATGAAAAAGGATTGTATGAGTATTTAAGACAGCAGGCTTGTAGGTACAAAGAACGGCGATGGGATCTGAAGCAACTTGTTGGGTCTGGTGGTATGCCTTCATCCCATTCTGCAACTGTAACTGCTCTTGCCATTGGTGTTGGTTTGCAGGAGGGATTTGGAGGTTCACTTTTCGCTACTTCATTGATTTTAGCATGCGTGGTATCAACACTCTCAGTCTACCTCCCTTTGTAGTTTTGATTAATTATTATGTGCTCTGTTAAAGTTCTTTCCATCTTTGTTTGGAAAATTGTTGCGAGTGAAATTATGGACCTTTTCTTAGATAGCTGAAAAAATTACATCATTAGTTGATTATGAGCTCTGTTGCTTTCGAGGAACGGTGTTTGTTTATCCAAAAGTAGGTTTGGTAACATTAAAAAGTACTGTAGCTTGAATTATTATACATTTCTAAAGCAACTTAAGTTGCAGCAGTTAAAAGGTTATTGGGAAAATTGTCAAATAAGTCCATGTACTATTAACAAAAAGTCAATTGAGTCCATGTACTTTTTATTGAGTCAATCAAGTCCACAAACTATAAAAAAACGACCAAATAAGATTTTTAGTCGGTAGTCAACCGGTTACCCGGTTAACCACCGACGTGGATGTCCCATGTGGCATTTTGTTACT